AAAATGTTAGCTTTATTGGGAGGTAATAAGGCTCTGGGAAATTGACTTGTTAAAAACTGACCATTATGACTAAGATCTATTTTAAGTTATATTAAAGGACAGAGTCAGCAGTAAGCAAATTTCTTAAGGAGGCAGACAGTAGACATTTTGTGGGTTATCTAAGCTCTGCAACTTTTCAACTCTGCTATTACAAAACGGGCATAGACAATACATAATGAATGGGCATGCAAGCCAGAGTTGCCAGTCCTGATTAAACTATTTTTATTTATTTATTTATTATACTCCCTTCGGTGTGCTATCAAATATTATTCATTCTATCTAATTATATTTTTGCACCTTAACCATCTCCACTGTATTCCCCCTCCCCACTACCTTCCCAGCTTCTGGCAGTCATTCTACTCTGTCTCTGTGAGATCAGTTGGTTTTTTTCTGAGATAAGAGTCTCACTATGTAAGTGTTGTAGCATCACAGCAACCTCAAACTCTTGGGCTTAGGCAATTCTCTTGCCTCAGCCTCCCCAAATAGCTGGAACTACAGGCATCTGCCATAATACCTGGCTATTTTTTTCTGTTGTTGTAGTTGTCATTTTTTGTTTGGCAGTTCCCGGCTGGGTTCCAACACACCAGCCCTGGTGTATGTGGCTGGGGCCCTAGATCCTGAGCTATATAGGCACTGAGCCAACTATTTGGGTTTTTTTTGTTTTTGTTTTTTTTACATTTTTTAACTTATTTTTTTTTTTTTTTCCATTTTTATTTGGCCAGGGCTGGGTTTGAACCCACCACCTCTAGCATATGGATCTGGTGCCTTACTCTTTGAGCCACAGGAGCCGCCCAACTATTTGTTTTTAAATGCAGTCAGTCATATCATTTAGTAAGAAAGCCCTTTGGACCTTAATTTGCTTATAAAACAATTAGCTCAACTAAGTTGTCAAGAGTAAATTTAATTGACACTGTAGAAAAAAATGATAATACTAAAAAGGGAAAAAATTAATACTGTCATGTAGGATTTTTAATTCCTATAGTTGTCAGACCTGAAGTAAGGCTCTTTTGTCCTTAATACTTTTTTACTATTCTACTGAACTACTACTTATTCTAAAAAAAGTTTGAAAACTGATTGCCATGTATTATTTTATTTTATTTTTCTTTAAGATCGCTACATTGTAGTAGGGGCCCAGAGAGATGCGTGGGGTCCTGGAGCTGCAAAGTCAAGTGTAGGAACAGCTCTCCTGTTGCAACTTGCCCAGATGTTATCAGATATGGTCTTAAAAGGTAGAGTACAATTAGATCATTTATGCACTACACAAAGTTCTAAATGTTACATACTTTGCTCACTTTTATCTTATGGTTCTCTGGGGTAGACCCTTAGTTCTTTTAAATACAAGGCAGGTTCCCTTTTGTTGTAGTCTTTTCAGTTTGAAAACAGCTTTCCACGAAGTACCTTCACTGTACTAGATAGAAATCCTGAATTTCTTTGAGATACTGGAAAGTGTTCTATTGAACCTCGGTTTTTATTATATCCAGAATGGTGTAGCAGATCTAACAGTCCTTAAGGTATGTAATTGACAGCAGTGGCATACCTCTATCCTAAATGTTCCAAGGCAGTGGTTTTCAATCTTCCTAATGCTGCCACCCTTTAATACAGTTCCTGTGGATCTCGACCCATAGGTTGAGAACCGCTGTTCTAAGGCCTAATGGCTATTCTAATTTCACTGTTTACTTTCAAGTCTTTCCTCTCACTGTATTTGCTGTTCTGAGCCCACCTATACACATGGAATCTCACATCATATTCTTGAATCTTTGAGGTCAAAGAGTAAATTTCAGTACATAAATTTTATGTAAAGCATTTTAATAGGGAAAATAGAAACACAGGGAAGTGGGATTGTGTGGAGGGCAGTGGTACATATATCTCCAAAATAACCTGTCACAGGCTTGGTGCCAGCCATATACACCTGAGCTAGTGGGTTTGAATGCAGCCTAGGCCCGCCAAACAATGACAGCAGCAACCAAAAAATAGCCAGGTGTTGTGGCAAGCACCTATAGTCCCAGCTACTTGGGGGGCAGAGTCAGGAGACTAGCTTGAGCCCAGGAGTTGGAGGTTGCTGTGATCTGTGATGCCACGACACTCTACCCAGGGGACTGTTTGAGGTTCTGTCTCCAAAAAAAGAAAAAAAAAAAAAAAAAAAGGAGCTGTCACAAATGTGATTCTCTGGAAATATAACTTAAGTTTGAATTTTTTTTTTTTTTAAGAGACAGAGTCTTACTTTGGCTCCCTCAGTAGAGTGCTATGGCATCACAGGTCACAGCAACCTCCAGCTCTTGGGCTTAGGCAATTTTCTTGCCTCAGTCTCCAGAGTAGCTGGGACTACAGGCACCCGCAAGAATGCCTGGCTATTTTTTGTGGCAGTTTGGCCGGGGCCAGGTTCGAACCCACCACCCTTGGTATATGGGGCCAGCGCCCTACTCATTGAGCCACAGGCGCCACCCATAAGTTTGAATTTTTATTCTGTTATATCATCGTTTTAAAAATACTTCAGTGTGTTAAGAAGATCATTCTCAAAGAAGATATATCATGCTTATACTGTGATTTCAAATATTTCCTGGTCCTGAAGTTAAGGGACTCAAAGAGTAGAGTTGTAAAAGGGTGACTACCCATAAGTTGGTCCTTGCTATGTACTTGAAATCTTATTTGCATTTGATTTGGTATCTTGTTCTTTTCTCATTCCTTTATTCTTTCGGGGGCTCAAAAAGAAAAATACTTTTGACTCTGGTATATTGAATAAGATGCTAATTTGATTTATCTTAAGTCAGATGCCTGCCTATAAACTTTCCCAGGATAAAGCTAACTTTTTGTTCTCTTTCAGATGGGTTCAGACCTAGCAGAAGCATTGTCTTTGCTAGTTGGAGTGGTGGAGATTTTGGAGCTATTGGTGCCACTGAGTGGCTAGAGGTAGTATTTATGTACCATCAATTCTCAGAAAGGGCACCTGAACTTGTATTGGTTTAAAGTATCTCCAGAGGCTCGGCACCTGTGGCTCAAGCGGCTAAGGCACCAGCCACATACACCTAAGGTGGCGGGTTCGAATCCAGCCCGGACCTGCCAAACAACAATAATGGCT